CAAAGCAATCTTTAAAGAGAGGATCGTTGAAACTTTTCCAGAACTTATGAAAGACACAAATCCCCAGACACATGAAGCATATCTTATACCAAGCAGGATAAATTTTAAAAATTTACCTCTAGGCAAAATGAGATGAACTTTAAGAACCATAAAGACAAAGGGAGTATATCAAAAAGCAGTCAGGGGGCTGGCCCCGTGGCCGAGTGGTTAAGTTCGTGCACTCCGCTGCAGGCGGCCCAGTGTTTCGTTAGTTCGAATCCTGGGTGCGGACATGGCACTGCTCATCAGACCACGCTGAGGCAGCGTCCCACATGCCACAACTAGAAGAACTCACAACGAAGAATACACAACTATGTACCGGGGGAGCTTTGGGGAGAAAAAGGATAAAATAAAATCTTTAAAAAAAAAAAAAAAAAAAAGCAGTCAGAAAGGAAGGAAAGAATGTCACAAAGAATAACTATAAGGTTCATAGCAAACTTCTTAATAGCGGTCATGGAAGCCAAAGACTGTGGCGTGACATCTTTAAAGTGCTGAGAGAAGAATACCCATAAAGTTACAGTTGTGAGTCCAGCAATATTATCTTTCAAGTACAAGGGCAAGAGAAATGATATTTTCAGATAAATAAAAGCCAGAACAGTTTACCACCAACGCCACCTCCACGAAAGGAATTTTCTAAAGGATTAGTTTAGAAGAAGGAAAATGAATCTAGAAAAAAAAGTCTAAAAGAAGAGTAAGCAATTGTGAACATGTAAATAAATCTAATAATTATGATGTCTAATTTGTGGAGGTTTAACAAAAAGAAACAAGCTAAAATGCAAGCAAATATACACATGTAAATTAGGAGAGGAGTAGAAAGAGTTAACGTTCTAAAGATCTTGGCTGTCAGTGGGAGTTTTAGGATATTGTTTGTAGTCTGTTAAAAATGCAAGGTAAAATTTTATGGGTAACTGGAAAGAATGGCAGTAGAGAGTTCAATTTCCACAGCAGGTAGAGGGCAAAATTACGTAGAAGAAGTGAACACAAGAAGGTTCTTTTCATCAAATAATAAATAAAATCAACTACACTCGTAGTTGTGAAACCTTTGTAGAGTCTTCAAGTATTGAAATTGGGTTGAGGGAGGGACAATGCTGGCAATTCCTCGGTAATAATTAAACCTAACTAGAAGAAAGAGAAGGAGTATAAGAAGATTCTAGAGATTGTTGCTGGTAGAAGAGAAAGATAGGAAAGCATTTACAGCAGAGATGTCAAAAGCTGAAGTGGCTGTGTTACATAGACTGAGCTTTATCCAGGCCTTGGGCAGAGGCCAGAGGTAGAGCCATGCCAGTCAATGAACGAATGGCTGACAGATACTGAGAGAACAGGGTGCTAATACTATCACGTTAGGCACATGTACCATGTCTCACAGAAGCTTTCCTCCTGATCCCAGCCTTGGCCAGAGCAATTTAAGGGGAGTGAGCAGGGAGAGAAGGTAGGAGAAGAACAGGGAGACATCTCCCCAGGCAGCACCCAGGACAGCTACCACCCTGCCACACCCTACTTATACACACAGGGAGGCTGAGGCAGAAGCCAGAGGGTGTAGGCCTTGGCACAGGCATTCCAGGAAAGACCTAGACAGACAGACAGAGCTGGAAACTAGAGGGAAATGCTTGATAACATCGGCTCTGGCAATATGGGAAAATGTGCCCAAACACAGGTGCTTCTATGTTAAATCACTGCCTCCTTGCCTTCCCAAATAAGATGTTAGGGCACCCCGATCTACACCCACCTCTGACCATGCATGCCCAGAGTTCCCCTCTGCTACTTAAAAGTGTTAACTTCTTAAATTGGAAAACACAAATCAGAACATGTTTAGAAGAATATACCATAAAAATAAAGGGCATAAAAATGCATCTGAGTGATAATAGCTAACATTTATATCCTGATTATCCCAGGAACATTCTAAGTGCTTGACATACATGATCCCATTAAATCTTCATGTGCCCAAGATCACACAGCTAATAACAGGCAGAGCTGGGATTCAAACAGAGACACTCTGGTTCCAGAGTCTTCACTTTAAATACTATGCTGCTTCTGAGTGGTTGGAGGATGTTTTACCTGGAGAAGATAGAATTCCAGCTTGGTGCTATGGACTGCAAGTTTGTATCCTCCCAGAATTCAAATGTTGAAGCCCCAATCTCTAATGTGATGGTATTTGGAGACTGGGCCTCAGGGAGGTGATTAGGTCGTGAGGGTGGAGCCCTCATGAGTGGAATTCCTGTCCTTATAGGAAGAGACATGTGAAACAGATGATCTCTTTCTGCCACGTGAAGACATTGTAAGAGGTCAGCCATCTGCAAAGCAGGACGAGGGTCCTCACCAAGAACCCAACCACACTGGCACCCTGATCTCAAACTTCCAGCAACCAGAAATAGAAGAAATGTTTGTTGTTAAAGCCACCTAGTCTATGGTATTTCTTATAGCAGCCCGAGCTGATTAAGGCACTTGGGAAATGAAGGGTTGTCTTCAAATATCTGAAGGATTAAACTTATTCTGTATGGACCAAAGAGATTAGAATTAAGAAAGTGGTTCTTTTCAGCCTACTTTGTAGGAGTCAGCGGTCCCAAGAGAAGAAATGAGTTTTCTCAGACGGCGCTGATTTTTCCAACACTGGAGGCTAAAGGCGCCAAGTATGAATAATATGGGGAGGATTTCAGCATTGAGTAGATAGCTGAATGAGACTCTCTATAAAATCTCTTCCAACTCTTAAGAGTCTATAGGACCTTGAGGGTCAGAGCTAAGAGCTCAGATCCAAAGAACTGGATATTGAGGACTCAACTTTTACAACAGCGTCATTTTCCACTTACCTTTGTTCCTGGTCATCTTGAAGCCACAATTTGCATTTGTATATTTTAAGACTCTACACACCTGGATCCCCTTCCTTCAAAGGTCAGCTTTGGCATCACCTCCTCCAGGATGTGTTCCCCACCCCATGCCTGATGCCAGCTTAGGTGCCCACCTCACCCCATTGTTCCCCAGCCATGCCACTTCTTACACTATAGTGAATTGTCTGTCTCAGTCCATCATTCCCTGTATTCGTTTCCTAGGGCTGTATAACAAATTACTACAAATGGGGTAGCTTAAAACAATAGAAAGTTATTGCCTCAGAGATCTGAAGGCTAGAAAACCAAAATCAAGGTGTCTACAGACCCGGGCTCCCTCTGAAGACTCCAGGGGAGCATCCTTTTTTGCCTTTTCCTGGCTTCTGGTGGCTGCTGGCAATCCTTGGTGTCCTTTAGCTTGAGGCTGTATCACTCAAATTTCAGCCTCTGTCTTCACATGGCCTTCTCCCCATGACTGCGTCTCTGGGTGTCTCTCCTCTTCTAAGGACACCAGTCATATTGGATTTAGGGCCCACCTTAATCCAGTATGACCACATCTTAATTTAACTAGTTACATCTTTAAAGATCCGATTTCCAAATAAGGTCATGCGCACAGATACCAGGAGTTAGGACTTCAGTATATCTTTTGGGGGGATATAATTCAACCAACAAAATTCCCCAAACTCCCATGCTCACTACACCACAGTTCTTTGAGAACTGCATCTTTATTCCACATATTTTTATTGTGTCTGCTATGAACCACGCTCTGTTCCGGGCACTGAGGACAAGTCACAGTCAAGGTCCCTACCCTTGGTGGAGCGTCACCTCTACATGAAGATAGACAGTTAAAAAGTGCCCATTCAATGTTGAAGCCAAACGCCAAGCACATGTATGCATGTATGAATACATATAAATCACTTAATATATATTTGATGAAGGATATTAATGCAAAGAGCAAAAAACAAAGGATAAATTATTCCATTTCATCTAGTCCATACTTTTTGGCACATTTACCAGAATCTAAAACTTTGGTTTCTCTCAGTCCCTTGTGAAACTTTGCTCTCTTGTACTTTCATTCTTACTCTCAGTGAACCCCCTCAAACTAACCCCTCAAATAGTGGTTCTTAGTATCAGAAAATAAAGCTTGTAAGATATCTTCCGAAACTGTTTTCTAAGATTCAAACTTGCAACTAAAGAAGAAAACACTTGCTCTCTTTGCCTTCCAGGGCAGCGTCAGTTCCTCTCCGTCACCATTCGTCCAGATGCCAGGTGAGTTCTTCAGTTCAAAGAGCAAGTCATTCATTCCTTTGTGAGTTTAAATCGGGCATTTGGGCTTCCACTCTTTTACAACCACTTTACAACACTTTCAAAATTTTGCTGCTTTAAAATAGTTATTTTTTAAATACAAAATCAGTGAAGACAGACCTCATTCAGTCATCCCTGAATTTAAAATTCATTCTGTCTTGAAGGCAGCCTTTTAATCCCTTGCCTAGCGGAAGTTTATTGGGCAAAAGCAATAGCAAACAGCAATAGGCCCTTGATACAATCTAAAAATGTCTGACATTTTCTGGCACCATGATCCAACAGATTATGCATCTGCTTTAGGACAGAAAGAGAGAGGCCTGCAGACAGATGGAGGAACAGCCATTTATTGGGTGCTCTCTATAGGTCAGGCACTTAGTTCAGCATTTTATATTCATTTCAGTACATATGTCTCGTAAAAGACTCCTGTGAGGATGGAAAAGGGAGTTCTTAATAATAGGGTTACGCACGCCCAGATCTGTGCACACACTCGCATGCACACACACACACACTCCTTCCAGATCTCAAACTCAGAAGTGGCATAGGCTTTCTCAGTAGTTTTAGTCGCCTTCAGAGCTGGATAAGGGAAAGGAATAAAAGCAGTAGAAGATCTCACATATCTGAATGTCTCCGAGTTGTGTTTCCCAATCACATTTACAGTCACTGGAATCCGGTTGTGTCTGCTCCCTTCTATAGAAGAAAATTTCTGCAGCTTCTCTGACCTTCTAGAATTATTCTTCCTTTTCACGGAGAAAGATATATGCTTAAGAGAGCAAAGAGGTTTTTCTTTGTGATTGTTTTTATTTGGAAATTGGAAATATAGACATGAGACCCTAGACAGCTAGTTTCCAGATTCTTCATTCTGTTCTCAGCCTTAACCACTCCAGTGGAGATAAATTCATAGTGTGAAACAGAACTTTATTTATTGATATTAATTTTCACTTGCACAAATTTCTTTCCAAGGAAGTATGCTTATGATGAAACCCCCAATGCTGCTTTCAAATTCATGAACAGATTAGAAATTTGGGGCCATAGAATTTAGGACGAAAGTGGAGTGAGCAGAATGGTGCTGTAAGTTTCTACAAGGAATTTTGATTTCCTCTGAATGAATGAATAAATTTACGTATAATTGTTGAACACAGTGTTATACTCCTGGGTTTACAGAAAATGTGTGAGACATAAGTTCTGCCCCCATGGAGCTTGCAGGTCAATTGGAAAGAGGGTTGTAACTCAGGTGAGAGAATATGAGCATAATCTGAAGTGCCACTTCACATGGCGAACACCAGGGTGCTGTGTATGCAGAGAAATGTATGACTGAGCCATGATACCAAAGGAGGAGGGTCTTGATGAGTCTGTCTCCTCTCCCTGAGGAAGAGTGGGCAAGGTGGACAGGGACAAAGCTCAGAAGCAGTCCACTGTGGTTGGGGGAAGGTAAGAAAGACAGGCACCTGCATCTCCCTCCCAGCTCAGGCCTCCTGTGACCTCAAGGTGAAGGTCTTAGCTAATTAGACCACACCCACGACAGCTGGAAACAATCAGTTTTACAGCCCTTGAGTCTATGCCCCTGAACATGTACTAAATGATAGCATGTTTCCTGCTACACCTGAGCTCTGGCGTCAGACCGTCTTTAGCAAACACATCCCTTCACTTCTGGGATCATTTTGCTGGCCTTCCCTTAAATGAGACTCCTCAGTTTCAGCTTCTTCCCCCCTGTTTTCACCAAGGGAAACTTTCTGTGCCAGACATTCTCTTCCCAAACTTGCAGTGCCCGGGGCAGCTGAGGGAGGGACTCAGTATGGCCACAAGAGGGCAGCAAATAACATGAGACTCATCAAAGCCAGAAAACTTTTTTTGTGTATGGTCCTCTAATTTGACTGCACAAAAGCCATATCATCCCAAAGCAAGCAAGCCATTTCTCCATGCCTGCTGGGTGCAAGACACCAGGTTAAAGGTCAGTATACAAAGAATTAGAAGACAAGTACAACCTGCCTCTGATTTAGCATGGGGTTACAGCATCACCTTACCTAGAAATATTGCATCTCAGACAACACACCCAGAAGCAGCCCCTTGTTGACGGTCCTGTGTATATGGGGATAGAGCTCAGAAGCCGTGACAAAGATGCTTCATTCGATAAAATGTAAATGCTAAGGGATTCTTATTCTTATCTCTTTAAGCCCAACCCCTTCCTAGCAGTGCCTGGCACATAGAAGATACAGAATAAATGTATGTTGAGTGAGTGAATGATCAACCAGTTAGTGCACCATCTAAAGCGAACTCATCCCCAAAGGCAGAGTGAACTTGAAACATAATAGTTATTTGGGCTGGACCAGTTAAAAGAGATAATACAACAATATTTAACGCTTTTCAAGACATTTATCTATTGAAATATTAGCCTTGGTGTCGGGCATACATTAGAAACACCATTTCACACGTGGAGAAACTCAGCTGCAACAAGAGACGCCTTGACTTTCCCATGAGGAAATTTTTGCCCATTTGTTTTTCATTTGGCAACAGGTTCACCAGTGATGTCAGGTTACTACGGGGTCAGAAGATCTTTCCTATCTGACTCAGACTTCCACAACGCTAAGCAGTTTGCAAATGACGTCTGCACCTCGGGCGCGGCGAAGCCCTTTCCCTGCGAGGCCTCCGCAGGGCAGGGCCACCCAGCCCTCCTGGATCCCTACTTCACGGAGCCCTACGGAGACCACCGCCCCCCGGCCCTGACCCCCAACACCGGCTCTCTGTTCAGCCCCTCGCCCCTGCCGCCGCTCCTGCCGCCGCCGTTCCCCAGCGACCCCACACACTTCGTGCTGGTGAGTATACAGATATTTCACGTTTCGCGTGTAAGGTAAGGTCACGCGCGTCTGGCCAGTGCGTGCACTTGGCAACCAGGATGAAACCAGGCCGCTCTGCCAGGATACGCTCCAGGAGCCTTCCTCGAAGATCCATGCCAACTACGACAGCAAAAAGGATGTATTCCAGGGTTTAGGCCGAGACGATTAATATGGCAGGATTTTTATCCTTTTTGTTAATGCTTTACTGATTTTGCCAAATGTCCCCCCATCATTCCTCTAGCACGTAAGGAAAGGAGCCCTGGAGTTACATCTCAGGCACAGCTAGGCTGTAATCTCCCAGGGCAAGCCCGGCCGGGGCTTCCCTTCCCTCCCAGTCCGGTGCCTCCCCTCCGCCACAATATTTCTACCCTATAGAACCTTGTTCTCACGCAATCCTTCAAAAAGAGGAGTTCATAATGATCTGAAGAATACTAACACCCTTCTTATAGAAAACTGTAAAGCCTTCAACCACAAAGGAATGAATCTCTCAAGATGGGATTTTAGACGAAAGAGGGTGGGGATTAGCATTATTGAGTACCTGCTCTATGCCAGGAACTTTTATGTGTCTTTGTTTATTTAATACTTGCAACGACTTGAGATATAGTTATTAAAGTCCCATTTTACAAATGAACAAAGTGAGGTGCTCAGAGTCAGGAAGGCAGTAAGTGGCACAGCTATGAGTGGAATCCCAATCTTTCCAGCTACAAGCCTATGAGGTTCCTAGCTCTTTGCTCCCGGAGGGCAGGGTGGTCTTCTTAGCCCACCCAGAAACTCACTCTGTGGTTTAGAGACCTACGCCTTCCAGGAGCAGCCGGCACTGACTACCGCGCTGTGGAAAGGGCTGTCTAGGACCCCGGCATGGTGCAGCTCAAAAAGAACCCAAGACATAGTGTGTTGTAAATGGTAAAATGCTCTATAAATGTTCATTTGATTATTCTCACACTTCACTCATTTAACGCTGTTTTGTGGGGAAAAGAATCTTCGTATATATAGGGAATCTAATTCTAGAGTAAGAAGGGAACTCAAATCTCCGCTGCTGCTGTCAGTCACCAGAGGGAACGCTGCGTGGGAAGGAGGTTTCGGAGAGCAGAGCGAGGACGCCAGGTCGGCTCTGGAAGCCTTGGTCCAGCAGCGCCCCCTGTCGGGGAGGAAATCTCTCCCCATCAGAGTATCACCTAATGACTAACCCCAGTGCCCTTTCCGTTCTCGTCAGAGGGACTCGTGGGAGCAGACGGTGCCCGATGGTCTCAGCCAGCCAGACCCCGTCCCCGCCGAGGCCCTGCAGATCTTGCCGCCCAGCACAAGTTGCCTCTCCCAGCTGGAGTTGGGGAGCTCCGCCCAGCACAGGAGCTCTAGCTGGGGGGCCCCCCTAGCTGGGGCTCAGTCCTACTCGCTGCATGCGCTGGAGGATCTGTACCACACGCCAGGGTACCCCACCCCGCCCCCCTACCCCTTCACTCCTTTCATGACGATGTCGAATGACCTGCCGCCCAAGGTGGTGTCCCTCTCCCCCGACGAGGAGGCAGACACCTCTGCCCTTCAGGACCCTTCTGCATGGGCAAAAGAAGACGGGAGCACAGCGTGGGGGTCGTACGAATGCCGCAGAGCTTACTGAGGGACGCACCAGAGGACTTCTGCTATGCCTTTCTTTAACTTGGGTCTGTATTCCACAGATTGTTTTCAGTGTGGCAGCTCATTCAGAACTGGATTTTCGGGATAAACCATCATGCCACCCTTTGTTAATGGACGGTGACATCTATTTTATTTGTAATCCTCCCTACCACAATCCCACTGAAATAGAACACAATGTTAATTCAGGATATCAGGGACCATATTCTAGTGAGACAACCTGACAGTGAGGTCTTTTGGGAACTTTAGTAATCCATTATATTCTGAATCTTCTGTTAGCTTGGAAGTATCATTTTTGGCACTGATAATTTTTTCTTAAATTACATTAAAAAGTTTATGCTAATCATAAAACATACTGATTTTCCTATCCAATTTTTCTTAGTTGTGAACCATGAGTGTTCTTTAGTAAGCGAGAATGCATAGAATATAATATAGATTGGGGCATATGAAACAACACTCATTTTATACCATGTGGCTTTAAAGTGCGAAGCATTATATAGATTTCTCTCCTTACAGTGACTTGTAAAGCCCCAGTAATAAATTATGGCACCACATATGGATGCTTTCTTGTCATTAAAATAGGATGAGGTCAGGAGGCTATGGCTTCATAACCACATAGTTTTGACTCTGCCCTAAAGCCCAGGATGTCCAAAAATTAGGCTAATCCAAAAAATAATAAAGGCCAAAAACATTCTTTGATCAATAATAGCCTTAAATAAGCTAGACCTTGTGTCTTGGATGGAATAAACCTACAGTTCAGAGTGGATCAGTAACATGGGCATTGTGGGATCAAATAAGAATGCACGCATTGTAAAGAAAATACAGAGAGCAGGACTGGGTTGCCAGCAAGAAACAACAGACCACAGAACACCAAGAAGCAAAAGGTCTTTGGAGAGGGATGTACTGTCAGGTGTGCACCAGTAGCTTTACACACATCGTCTCCCATTTAAAGGAAGACCTTGTTGCAGGCTCATCCATCAGAACGTGCAGCTCTTACTATGTATAAATGACGAAACTGACATCTGAAGCATTCATCTGTCTCGCGAAAGTTCGACTGGTGTGGATTCCTTTGCAATTAAGTTCCCAGAGTAATTCCCACCAAGCAGTGTGCCCATATGCAGACAAAGCCCATCAGAAATGCCCTGCACACACTTTGACTTTGCACTGCATGAGTTGAGGCCCGCAGGTTGCATCCATACTCTTCCTCCCAACTCCCTACCACCTTCCTTTTTTTATCCCATTTTTCTGATGCCCCTGGTGCCTCCTGACCCAGTGCCTTTTCCGTCCATCTCCTGGGGTCCCAATGGTCTCATTTTCTACCTTGTTGCCCAAAGCCCCTCAATACAGTCTCCATCACATCCTCTGTGCCAGTGTCCCATGCTCTCCCTCAGCTAGATAGGAGTCCAAAAAAATCTAATAAGGACATTCTCACTTAGAAGTGAATAATTGATATTCTTCCTTCTACAGACCTTTAAGGGTATTTTCTGGTTAAGCAAGCACATTCCTAATTTATGGAGTGCCTGCAGAAATGCCTGCATAGGGAGCCTTCCTTTACCTCACACCCCTCAGCTCCCTCCTGGGAGAGCATCCCCACAGGAGCAGATAAGGAGGAGCACTAGTGGTCCTCAGCTCCGGGCTGCACCCTGCTGGGCCCCCTGCCTCACTCCTTCCCTCCTACCACTTCGTTTCACAGCCTGATCTTTACTTTGCGCACTATTCGCTCTTCAATGGAAGGAGGCAACTTCACTGTGGGAGAGAGAGCTGCTCTTTCTTAAGTCTGATGAAAGTTGGGACCTCAGTCCTGGTTCCCAATATCCTTGGCAGAGGCACCTGTCATCCAGTGTCACTCATACCTGGACAGCAGGCCTATGCATCAGAACAAAGAGATCTGGCCATCTCTATAGATTTAGGGGTCTTCACAAGGGTCTCAAAGTCATTTTTCAAGATTGGTTGTATAAAATTTATAATAATCACAGTTATCTACTGCTTACTCCCTCTTACTAAATAGCACACAACACAATAACGGTTGTGTAAGTGATAAATATGGGTCCACATCACCTTGACTTTTGTTTGATTTTAACACTAATGTTAGCCATGCTCATTTTTCTTAGTTCGCTGTTATCTACTCACGTATAATGTTCATCTCCTCACGATCTGAGGATACTTCGACTCTCAGATAAGCAGAGCTCAGCAACCAGACTTGGAAATGGCAGTAAATGCAGTGAGTGCAGGGGTGTCCACATCCTTCTTAAAGCAGCCAAGCCCTTTCATACTGTTTGGAAAATTAATTTATAAAAAGGAGACCTACACAGGCCCATACTACATCTACTATCCATTTCAGTTACCTCGTCTACAGCAGCTGGGGGGTGGGGAGTGGTGCTAATGATTCCAAATAGTACATGATTTTTCAGAATTCTATTTAGCTTGACAATGTGTTGCTATATTACATATATTTTGATTTAGTTCGGTTTTAGCGTTTTTGGAATTTACAATACTTTGTTAAAAAGTGAAACCAAGCCACAAAATCACGACAGGGAAATTAATTATATTTCCCTATCCCATTTCCCCTCTAAGCACTCTCTATTTCCTACTGCATGCCGGGAACTAACTGCAACTTTTCATAATAATGCACAAGGCCAGCATAAGAAACAAATGCACATTCTTCTCTCCCTCTCCTTCCTTAAACCTACTGTTCGAGGACTCACAGCTTTCCTGGGAATACTAGAGAAAATTAAAGAGCTCAGGGTCAAAATGCCATCTCTTTCAGGTCCCTTAAGATTCAATATAAGCAGAGATGGTGATGTCGAGTTCAAGCTACTAAGAAAGCTGACCAGAGGGTAACGTCAAAAAGAAGTGGAAAGCAAAATTTGCCCATGCAAAAGCTGAATATGGGCAATTCTCTCATAGATCACTTGAAATGGATATTGCAGTATGTAGTTGAAAGTGTTTGTGTTTCTCTTACGCTGTTACACAAACTCCAAGTAAGAGAAGAAAACCACATTTTTACCTCGTTCACTTAATAAATGCTTTTAAATGAACATTATGGCCTGCTACAGCTCAGTTAATAATACAGTATGATGGCACTATGGTGGTAAGGGAAGAAGCACTTTAGTGCTGACGTGCTGGAGTACTCTAAAAGAAATTCTACGAGGGGAAAAGAACTACTAACCCCAAAAGTAAAACATATATTTACATACATATTTACATACATAGAAAAGTATTGCTAGAATTTTTGTGATCCATTTGTCAATATGTAAATCTAAATAATACATTCATAATAAAATATCAGTTATATTTAAAAGAACCAAAATAACAAATGATGACCAAGATTTAAGTCACATTACATTATAGTGATTCTACCAACTTCACACCAAAATTATACTCTTTCATTAGGTTCTGTCCACAGTATCCTCTCTGTTCAAAATAATATTACACTGTTCCTCTTACACACCACGTTCAATAACTATTGACTCTAGAGAGGTTACATACAAAATCATACACTCTATGGGGCCAGCCCCATGGCCAAGTGGTTAAGATCATGCTTTCAGGGCCGGCCTGGTGGCGCAGCAGTTAAGTTCACACGTTCCGCTTCTCGGTGGCCCGGGGTTCGCTGATTTGGATTCCGGCTGCGGATATGGCACCGCTTGGCAAAAAGCCATGCTGTGGTAGGCGTCCCACGTATAAAGTAGAGGGAGATGGGCATGGATGTTAGCTCAGGCCCAGTCTTCCTCAGCAAAAAGAGGAGGATTGGCAGTAGTTAGCTCAGGGCTAATCTTCCTCAAAAAAAAGATCATGCATTCTGCTTCGGTGGCCCAGGGTTTCCCTAGTTCGGATCCTGGGCATGGACATGGCACCACTCATCAAGCCATGCTGAGGCGGCATCCCACATAGCACAACCAGAAGGACCTACAACTAGAATATACGGCTATGTACTGGGGGGCTTTGGGGAGAAGAAGAAAAAAAGGAAGATTGGCAACAGATGTTAGCTCAGGTGCCAATCTTTAAAAAAAAAAAAATCATACACTCTAGCTAACGAGTGAGGCTCTAACTAGACTGATCAAAGGCAGGACTCATGAATGGCTCAGCAACACATCCCCAGCACCTGGCTTCGTGCCCAGGATGCTGTAGGTACTCAGTAAAACCTTTGTGAAATCAAACTAAAATTATACCACAAAGACGAATAACTGTTTAGACCCTGACACTGTGTGTGACCACTCTTGGAAACTAATGAATGAGAAAATCCTCACCATGTTTAGTATTTAACAGTAACCACACTCTGCAAATTCTGACAGTAGTAGATATTGAGCTTTAGTGATAATATATTTAAAATGATTGATTTAGTGTCTTTAAATTTCTTTAAGAAGGAAAATTACTGAACCTTTGAAGTAGCACCGAAAAATGTTTCATTTAGTATCTACATGTACTATAATATATTGCTAAGTCTTATAAATAAAAGTTATTCAATGTGTGGTGGTATCCCTGGTGTGATTAAAACAAAGATGATGAGTAGATCAGGAACTAGAATCCCAAAAAATCAGCCTAAGTAAATCATAATTAAAATCTTCTATAATTATTTGTAAGTGATGACACTAAGTTACCTCTGATCTTTGATATAAAAGTGTCCTATAATCATAACCTCTGACAAATTATGGGTTTGCAATATGCACTGTCATTATCAGTACATTATAAGCTAAAAGGAAAGAAGAGTAAAAAAATTTTATAAGTTCCAAAAGGGAAAAAATGTGGACAAAACAAATAATGTCTAAGAATTAGGTCTTTTGCATTACGAAAATTGATAGATGTCCCTGCTAACCTTCTCCCTAACCAAACCTCTTGAGTAGAATAATCCAAAAGTTCAATGTGTAATAAATCAATTTAGTCATAAATTAAAGATCACTCGACTGTTTTATTTCCAACCGTGATAATATATTCATAGATTTTTATCATGGTATTCTTTATATGTTTTTGTATGCCTTAATATTGCATAATAAAAATGTTTTCAGTAAAGGATGAACTTTTCAAGCAGCGTCTGATGGTATTTTCTTTATTTAGATGAGAAATTATCAAATGCCTGTTCCCCCATAGAAGCCTCTTAAGGAAAATTTAAAACTTTGAATATGTTTTATGGGAAGAGACTTACTTAGCACAACTCATTAAATAATCTCCATCTAACAGTCGTCCTGGTCATTTTCATACGGACCAAACATTCACTCTAGGACCCAGTAACTACTTGTTTCCTCCGTGTTTTTGCAACTTGATATTTCCCACAAGGCTTGGTAACAGTGTCCCAAAGCCAGAGTGACAAAAGAACTTTGCATTAATAAAGAGAATTTAGAGCAGTAGTCAAATCTGGAGGGAATAAACTCCCTTTTCTTTCTACTGAAAGTCTTTTCATATTCATGTGTCTAAGTTTAACAAAATCTCCTACTTTGGGAGAAAAATATAGTGTTCTGCAGTGTCATTTGCATACAAAAGCCTGCCAAAAATCTTCAGTTAAATATTCAGTTTAAAACTTTAAAAAGAAACCTATTCTATTCCCTTTATTCTGGGTGCTCAGTGACTTTAAGAAGGTCAATGACAAACTAAAGGGTTTCTGAGCTCAGTGGCTCAGAGATCTGAAAAACTATAACCTATGAGGAACTAGAGAAATTACAGACGGTGAGCCTCAAAAGGAGAAGGCTTGAGGTGGAGGACAGGGATGGGCATGACCTCTTCAGGCTCAGCGCTGGGCCCGCTCAGAGGAGATAATCAGTATATGCTTGAATGAATAAATGAATGAATGAACCAATGAATGAACCAAACAAACAGATAATGGAGAAACAGTAGTGTGGAAGTGGGAAAACAGCTATTCTGTGTTCATCACAGAGCAGTTGATGGCACAAACCAAGACTTATCTTAGTATTCTTAGTGCTCCATACCATAACTGGTACATAGTTGGTGCTCAATTAATACACAATTGTATTTGGGCGCAATCAGTGATCATTATATTTAAAGCAGTCCAACAGGAGAACAGGCTGCCTTACAAATAGAGAGCTCCCATTTCCTCAACACAAATGTACTACGGGCCAGGAGCTCAGCTAAGCAGTGGAGGAAGCCAGAGGCTGAACGACCACCAGCAGGGATGTTGTAAAAAGACCCCAAGTCTCTCTCAGCACCTCAAAGATCCCTTCCAGTATCCACACACCAGGACCATAGGTCATGTTTTTAAGCAAGTGGGCCTGTTAAAGCCTGTTGGAAAGCCCACAACATTTTTTTCACTTTTATTAAATCCCCAAAATGATTATCAGGACTTCAGGGCAGACACCTTGGAGATGACAATGTCCCCAGCAAGAGGAAAGAATTCCCAGGCTGTGAAGCACAAACTGGAATTAGCATCATAAATTCACAGGTCACCCTCACCTCTAGCCAGCCTCTTCCTCAGGGTTCTGGTGTCTCCAGAACACTCTCAAGTCAATGGGCTGCACTGCCTTCACATCCTCACATACCCTGAGAGCCAGACTAACAGCTCACCACAATGTTTTCACAGGCACAACATCGACATAGCTTCCAGGCAGTAGTTTTCTAATGGTAGTCACAACTCACCAGTGAGTCATCAAATTATCTTAGTGACTCCCAAGCAACATATACTTTTCATAAATACAATGAAACGGAAAAGATGGAATAGAACAGAATATATCAGAGTGCCTCATATACATAGGTGTGGATTATTCATGAAAAGTTTGTTTTATAAATATAAAATATAGTTATAGAGACAGTATGTGAACATATACAATGAATTTCCTACTGTGGGTTGAAGCCCAGTGAGTTTGAAAGCCTCTGCTCTAAGACATCAGGAAGACAACACTACTTAAGAACAAGGGTTTTAGCGTCAGAGTTATCAAAGTTTGATTCCCACTCCTGCCATTTCTGTGTTCGATAATCTTGGGCATCCTGCTGACCCCTCCAGGCTTGTTTCCTCATCTGCAAAATGGGGAAGCTATACAATACAATACAGTGCCTGACATCCAATAACCTCTCAATAAATGACAACTTTTACCAGTCTCCTAAGAGGAACATCCAACTCTGTGGGGTCTCAGTGTAGCCCTGGTTGCTCCAGGCCTCCTGACACACGCAGACCTGTAAGGAGGATTCACAGGCCGCATTCAGAAAGGATTCTCCCTTACCCCCACCAGCATGGCATTTGGCTCTTATGACTCTGCTGGGGTTTTGCAATTACAGGAACAGCAGGAACCCAAACTCCTTAATGTTGGGCTAAAAAATAGGAAGTTCTTTCTCAAAATAGGGCTCAGGCCATGGGAAACCCAGTTTTCTATAGTTGCTGGCCAGCAACCACTCTAGAACATCCATCCCAGCAGCAGGGACCAACATAGAAGCCCCCAGAACTGCTGCAAGGTTCAGGCAGAGGCTCCTGGAGGAAGGGACAAAGAATTCTTCGCTGTCCCTAAAGACTTCTAGGGAGCTGACCCAACCCCTGCCTGCCCTTCCTACAGGGCAGCCAGTCATCAGCATCAACCTCAACGATGTTGCCAAGGGACCTCAGTGGCCTCCCTCTGTCCCTGCCCATCTCCACGCAAAAGGAGAGGCTTGGAAGGAGATTAAGCCTGAAAAAATGAGATGGCACCCCAGAACAGGGGGAAAGAGACGCAGAAGGGGCCAGAGAGAAAAAAAACAATGCAGACAAGAGATGGAGGAAAGCAGTGACAGGAAGAGAAACAAAGAAAAAGAATCTCGGAAAAAAATAAACAGAAAGGACAAAGAGGGAGATTTTAAAAAGCAAACCCCAAAGTAAGCGTAAAACAAAAAGGAGGACAAAAGAGAAAAGAAGTAATGGAAGAAGCTAGGAGGACAAGAGATGTCCCCAGTTCCACGTTGCTTTGCTCACTGTCCCTTCAGGAGGAGCAGTGCCCAGGCAGGGGAGGGCAGGGAGGAAGGACAACTCCCAATGTCCTTCCCCTCCTCCCAACTCTGCCTCAGGCCTGACGTCCACCAAGAAAACTCAGGACACAGGCTCAGGGACCTTTGGGGGAAAAGGCTCCAGAAGCTGACAGATTCCAGCTGGGCTGGAGACAAACACACCCCATCCTGCCCTCCAATGGCAGGTACCACTCAGGTGTTACCAGCTCTCATCCCCTCCCTCAGAGACATGGCTTCAGGGGCCAAGCAAGCCTTATCCATCACAGACTCTGGTGTCTTGTCACTCTCAGAGACCCCTGTTCTCCCATCTCCAAATGCTCCACCCTTCATTGGACACATTGGAGGGCATTCAGGTATTTTTCTGGTGGCCCATGGGGCTCAACTCCACTTTCTGCATTTCAGAGAACTTAGGGAACATAGAGCAGAGGCCTCTAACCATCACCTGGCCTGGCATCAGGGAAATGTCTTGGCTTATTTGCAACAGACTCTGGTGTCTTGTCACTCTCAGAGACCCCTGTTCTCCCATCTCTGAATGCTCCACCCTGCATGGGACACATTGGAGAGCATTCAGGTATTTTTCTGGTGGCCCATGGGGCTCAACTCCACTTTCTGCATTTCAGAGAACTTAGGGAACATAGAGCAGAGGCCTCTAACCATCACCTGGCCTGGCATCATGGGAATGTCTTGGCTTATTTGCAAAGGGAACCCCACCCTATCTCTCTGCCTTCCAGGGCTGCCCCAGCCCCTTGGGGGCTAGGAGAGGATTTGGCCTGGTACTTGCTCCCTCTCTAGACCACTCCTGTCTTCTCAAGCACGAGAGAGGCAGAGCAAGTGCTTAGAGAACATAACCCAGTACAGTCCCGGTCACTTGTGACAGGCTCGGGCCTGGACCAAGGGGGCAGCCTGACCTCACCTCCAAGTATGAAGGCTGGAACACAAATCCATGTCCTTTCAGCTAAAATGAGTAGGAGGCAAGCTTACCACTGTTTCTAGACACACGCTCCTGCAACAAAAAGGCAGGGATGGCTCTAGAGAGAGGAGGAGGAAAGAAGAGGGAACTTCCCAGCGAAGAAACACCAGCCTTAGAAAATCTGCGAAAGGCTAGGCCCCACGTGCATCCCCAGCTCCTTGGGGAGGAGCAAAGGGTCTTAATGGGCAGGTATTCTCTGTAGAAACCCCAGCGTCTGGGGTCCAGACAGAAAGTGGCACAAAGGGCAGGGAAGCTGGCACGTGGCCAGGTGGGGCCAGAAGGAGACGAGGTCCAGAGCTAAGGCCCCTGCCGGGCCTCCGGCCTGCAACCTGGGCCCACATAACTTTCTGACATGCCATACCTACTGGCTGCCATGTTCACACCCCAAAACCTGAGATTTGCCCTTAAAATGGAGATTGGGGATGTGGGAATCAGTGTGACTGGCCAGCCTGGCTCAAGTGGTCATGAAGGGCAGCCGAAGTCCCTCAGGGCCCCCGGAGTTGCCTTTGAGGCAGAAATACAGAGCATCTTTGAGGACTCCTGCTCTGCCTGTGGGAAGGTGGGAAAAATGCTGAAAATACAGTAAAAGCAAGGGCCAGGACCCAAAGGGGTCTCACTCCCTGTTTCTCTGGACTCTCTGTGGGGTGCCTGTGTGCAGGATTTCTGCAGAAGATAGTCCATTTTGTTAAGCCTTTGAATATTCAAATTGAAAGTATCGCGCAATCATTGATTGTCAAATCATGGGTTTCTAGAGGTTTTAAATACTTGGCATGAGGGGGAAAAAACTCAAACCTATACCCGAAGGTATAAAACATTAATTCTGTTTGTCTCCTGCTCCAGGAACCTGAGTGCAGCTGGATGCTTTGTGAAACTTTAAAAATGTTGCATCTCTGCTTCTCTCCTTGCACAGGAGCCCTCCTAGGCACTGAGTCCCTGCAGCTGCAGCACCCAGCCACCGGCCCAGCTTCTGCTGACCACGATGTCCGGTAACTCTCGGCTGCTTCTCCCTGGGTGGGGTCATGTGGGCCAGGGGCGTTTCGATCCCGGCGTATTTCCACAGCTTCTCCTGCACAGAACAGAGAGGCACAAAGTCAGGGCATGCAAGGATGAGCCGGGGATCCTGAGAAGGCCCGGGCCACTCTGTGGCCGCTCCCATTCGGCACCTGCTCCCAAGGGCAGAGGTCCAGAGGCCCAGTTGGCCACTGCAAACGTCCTTGTACCTCGGTCCCCCCACCCGCCCTCCCCCTTTGCCAGAGGGGTGACCCTGGGGCTTTGAGGCGCGGACTCTGCGCGCCCAGAGGCGGCGGCGGGGGGAGCTAGAGGCTCACGGTGAGCCCCGGACGCGAGCAGGGCGGGCCGGCAGCACACGGCTGAGCGCTGGCGGTCCCTGTGGGACCCCGAGCCGCGCCCGCTGTCTGCAGAGCCGCTAACGAGGCGGCAAGTCGGGGGACTGGACCGCGGAGAGGGCGCGGCGCCCTGGCCCTGAGGGCCGGCACGGGATTCCCTGTGTCTGGGCGACGCCTAGAGCAACCTCCATTCCTGGGGAGACCCCTAGCTCCCGGAACCTGGCCAGGGGGGCTCCCTCCTGTCCAGCTGCGGTCTCCGCAGTGACCAGGCGAGGCGCTGGCGGCCTGGCACTGTCCCCAAGCCACCAGGCTGATCGCGCGGCCGCCCCAAGGCGCGGGGCCCGGCCCCTCCCCGCGCCATACCCCCAGCGCTCACTCCAGGGTCGAGGTCAGGGCCGGAGTCGCACTGGACTCCTCCGGCCACCCCCCACCTGGGAAGCTCGCCCGCCCGGCCCGGCGTGGCCTGGCGGCCCGGCCCAACCTACTCACTGTGGCTCCGCGGGCCCGCCCGAGGCTGCGCTGCCCCGCTGCCGGCGCGGGGCGTCCCTCCCCGCCGACCCCTCCGGCCCGCGCCTGGACTCTCTCGCGAGCCAGGCCGGTTCCACCCGGCCCGCCAGCCCCGGGGGCGGCCCCTTTCGGAGGGCGGCCCCCAGACGGAGGCGCGATCCTCGGGAGCCCGGCCCGGCCTCCCCGGAGCTCGCGCTGTGCGGACTCGCCTCGGAGGCTCCCTGCGCGGCGGAGAGATGCCTGCCCCAGAAAGGAGGGGGTGGGAAGGGAAGAGAAGCAGGGAGAGCAGGAGCCGGGCCGAAGGCGGGAGGAGGAAAAGATGGAGAGCGAGAAAGGCGGAGAAAAGAGGCGAGGGAGAGAAGGCAGAAGGCAAAGATAGACGGGATGGAGGGAGGGATGTCCTCGGGCCTGGTCCCTTTACTGGGTTTCGTCTAGCAGGTCCCTCACCGGCCCAAGGACAAGGCTCGCCAAACTGCACCTGTCTGCTGCCAGCCCCAGGGCTGGCTTTCAGACCAAGGGCAAGTAGAGGTCGGAGCCTCCCCAGAAGCCACACCTGATCTGGTGGATAAAGAAGAGGCTCCAAGCTTGCACATGAATGAGAGCACCACGGTGGGGTGGGCCAGGTCAGCTGCTTCAGATCAGAGAGGGGGTCCCTGCTCCACCGCCCAGCCCCTCCCCAGGTCCATAATACCCTCTCCCAGGCCAGCGGCTGGGCCCAGAACACCGGGTTCCCCTATCTTAGTTAGCCAAGATGGGGAAATCTCCTAGACTGGTGTCCACATTCCTGAGCAGAAAAACCTGTGTGCTATTGGTCTAAGGATAGGGCTCAGCCTGGGGAGTGTGGCCCCACAGATTTCCAGAGGTTCTGTTCCCACTGGGGCCCTGAAACCTGCCCTGCCTCTGGAGCTTCATCGTTTCAAGTTTGAGAAATTTGAGTTTCTTTCCCACTTGTCTTTTAGCGTTCTCTTTGCATTCGCCAAACCTAGGAACCTGGCCTCAGGTGCTATAGTCTATAAAGAGGACCTCCAACTCCCAAAACTTGCACTTGACCACTGACTCAGTTGCTTTTCCCCAGAAAAACCAAAAGTGTACCAAGGTGTCCGGGTGAAGATCACGGTGAAGGAGCTGCTGCAGCAGAGAAGGGCGCACCAGGCAGCCTCAGGGGGAACCGTAAGCATAAACCCTTCTCTTACTACTCAACTCCTTCAGCCTCATTTAGCCCTGGGTCTGGGAAGGTACAGGAGCCCACCTGAGAACCCAGTCACCATCTCCAGACCTGGCCTTCCTCACTGTTCTTATGACTTCTGTGCCCAGCTTCATCCCACTTCGTCATAGGAAGCCTCAAAGAACAACTGGGGCATGTTGTGGGGCTCAGAATTTGGGAGAGCCCAGTCCTCATATGATCATAGTTGAGTATCAAGAGTTTGTTGGTCCTGTGCAGGGTGAGGAGCAGCCAGCAGGTAAGGAGGTTGTTCTTTTGTTAGGAAGACAGTGTGTGTGCCCTCATATAGCCAAAGAAAATCCTCCCAGAAACCCATTTCATTTTAGGGAGCCCTTCAAGGAAGGAATCTCTGTGGAACACCCTCCCCCTTCCCTCCTCATTCTTCAGGAACCCAGCCTCTGAGGTCATTTATCTGTAAATCACCAGGCATTGAAATTCCCAGCAGAAAGAGCCATGTATCTGCAGAGGAGACAGCTCAGGATATAGAACCACCTCCTTATGATGTAATGAAGCCTTAAGCAGTTTCAGTTATGACGAGATGGATCTGGGCAGTCACAAGGGTACCTGTCACTTTATATATGTGCTAAAGCAGATAGTACTGCCAAGATCGCTCAGGGCAGCAGCAGAACCAAACAAACTAGGTAAGGTTATCCTCTGATAGAGGGCAATTCATCATACAATTACTTGTGGCTTGGTTTGGGTGTGGATGTAGGATATGACACATGGGGCCCATATTGCCAGTGTTAGGATTGGTTTTGTCTCCAGCTTATTGGCATCTGCCCCACAACGGTTTTTGTACCTGATGCTGTTTATGTGCAATGCATGACTTCATGAAATGGGCCTTTGTGGGAAGAGGCTACTGATGTAGGGGCAGTGAGCACAAGTTCTAGAACCAGTGGGCCAGTTCTCGGCTCCTCTGTGGTGTATATCCTCAAATTACTCAGTCTCACTTGCCACGGTTTCTTCATCTTTAAACTGGAGATAATAGGATTCTGTGAGGGTTAAATGAGTTATTGCATAGAAAGCGCTCAGAAGATTTCCACTTAGTAAGTGCCCCAAAAATGTAAGCTATCATTATTATTATTTCTGAAAAGCAACTAAAATAAAATTACAGCCAAGGATTGAAAGCCAGCTCTTCAGTAATGTTCATTCACAGCCTTTGCACAGAGTGTAGAGTTGAGATCAGGTGTGAGTTTGCCATGATAGGGCATGTACCCGCACAAATTGTACATTTGCTGGAGAAGTGATTACTTCTGTATGCAGAATTTCAGTTAACACAATAAACTTCCTTCCTTTTGTAGAGGGTTTTACAGTGGTCCTTTTAAAGTGCTTGCACACACTCTATTTCATTTAGGTCTTACAACAACCAGGGGTGGTAAGCAGATCAGAGATCTATTACAGGTAAAGTTCAAGGTCTTGCAGTTACTCGTGGTAGAGCTAAAAGTAGGACCAAGGTCTTTTCATTCTTAATAGAAAAAAACTTCCCACCTATTGGTCCCCTAAATTTATCTTTCTGCAGATCCAGCTGTGCTGAGCAGGAGTCTGGTAGCCTCAACCATCGACCTCTTCAATTCAGAGATGGTTATAAAAGTAATAAAACCAGGAACAAGGGAACTGGGGAATGCTTCTGGAGCAAAAGCAAAACATCAAGATGTTCATAACAGAATGTAATCTTTCGTTAAGGAGCTTTGGTACATGGTAGAATTCTGCTTCAGCTGCACCTGGAGAAGTCTCATTTGGGCATGGCGATTTTATTGCTGTTGGCCTCTTCCAGGGTGGTTTGGCTACTGTTCCCTTGCTAGCTAGCTGCAGGAATGAAGAGCAAGGGTCAAACATTTCACTCGTGGATCTGACCAGTATCTGTTCCCTAGAGCAGTTTGACTTATCTAAGTTTTTCCAAATTTCCCCCTGAGAAATAATAAAGCAGCGCTTATGAACCAGTGCCTTGCAGGAACATGCAGAGCAAAGCCTGCTCTGCTTGGCTTCCTGGAAGATTCTGTCTGCCCATGCCCTCACAGGCATGTAGGAGTAACACAGATGATTTAATTACAAGAGCCAGATGTACAATCCCTCACTGGGAACGATCAGAAGGATCTGGATTCTAGGAAAGCTGTGAGGGTACAGTCATAGGCAAGGATGGCAGATCCCAGGGTATGATGTCTGCCTGCTTCTTGGTGTAGACCTTTCTGGTTTAACAGAGAGGATCTCCAATTTGTTCGATGGTTGAAGGACCCCTCTGGGAAGCTTTAAGCCAAGGAGAGAGTTAATTTTATCAAATATACAAAGTGAGAAGAAATTTATCTTAGCCTGTTATAAAGTCAGAGTAAGTATCCACAATCTGAAATTTTAAGAAGGCAATCGTGAATGGAAGTTATAGATTGAGACAAATATCAGGGTCTTAAACAGTGCCAGGAGAAACACATGCGTGCCAGATTTGTAAATTTGATTGAAAAACTTATTTCGGCCAGATCACCTTGCAAACAGTGCTACACACACACACACGTATACACACATACACACAATTCTTTTACCTTTAGGATGAAAGGAAACTTGAGTTAGTACTTATCAAAAGATATAATTTACCCTTTTTTATTATTAATTTTTTTCAACAGTCTTGATGTGTTTTTATAAATTATAGATTGTGGATTTCTGTGCTGTTTGAAATCTAGGAAAGAGGTGCATTTCTTTGTATTCTTGGAGCAAAGCAGAAAGTGAACCCATGACTAGAAAGATCATATCTAGTAGAATATCGTAAACATACCTGAGGGAGATAACGTGGGGAGGCAGACAAACAGTCCATTCGGGGGAGGAATGGGGTTAATGAGCGCTCTACAATGAAGCAGATTTTTTAAAACCCACTCCGTCCAAGTACTTTAGCTCAAGCTGCAGCCAGATATTTGCATAAAGAGCTGGTGAAGGATTCCAGCTTCCTGGTTCATGACATTACTGCATGGATCATTTTCAAAATTACCACCTCCTGTTTCAGCAGTGGCTGACTGTGCGGTCTCCCAGTGGCTAGGTGTACAGGAGTAAGTAGACCCTGTAACCCAGGAGAGGTGCGGGGAGCTGGGCTTCCCAGCACAGAATCACAGAGCACTGCTGGTCCTTTAAACTTTAAAGCCACCACCTCCAACCTAAGGGGGAAAAAAATTCCTCAATTACTCCGTTAGTACAATTATCAATTCAACTGGAAGATAAAGGCTGCCTGACTTTAAATAGTTATAAGGAACGGTCTCATAAACTTCAAGTATTTAAATATAGTAGTGAAAAAAAGCAACTTTTATAGAAAATAGTAAAAAAAAGAAAAAATACAAAGAGTTGAAATATTTCCTGACCTTTAACTAGAATGTAGATAGGCTCCAGCTTACTGGTCACAGCTTTAAGAAAATATTTTTCACTTTAGTATTTCATGGCTAGTAAGAACATGTGAATATTTTGAGCTCTCCAGGATTCATAATGTTAGGAATTGTGTCCTTTTAGGAAAACAAACTCCTGGAGCTAAGCAGCCAGACTTTATGTGAAAATTTTGAGGAAAATAATTGACTAAGTTATAGATAGTTGGGATTAAAGTGTTAGTTCTTATTAATTTTAAATTAAATTGCTTACTAGAAAGGCTCTTTACTGAGTTTTCTCAAACTGTCACATTTCTATGTAATATAAAAATCATTTAAGTTAATTTTTTATCAAAATTAATAACCTTTAAAATTTAAATGGGAGAATCTGACATTAGGAAAAAACCCCCAAGCAAACATAAAAATTGCATCTAAATAAAATATAACGTTGGTTGTATTTAACAACAGTAAGTCTTTTCAGAAGAAAGAACCTGGCTTACCTTAGAGTAGAAGGCGACATAGTTCACGTCAAGATGTCTTAAGTTTCCCTTTATGGAACTTTTAATTCACTTTGCTTTATGGTCCTATTCTTGCTTTGGCAGCTGTCTGGAGGCAACAGTGTCCAGCTTTCAGACCCAGTTGCACCATCTCCTGCAGGTCAGTACAGCCAGTGTTACAATTCCCTCAAAAACTCTCAAAGGTCCATCTCGACAGTCTCTCAGTGCTTGATTTAGGGCTTAAGAGAGGCACCACCATTTAATTGGAATCCAACCAATCAGAAGGTGAAAAAGGCATAGTCACTCCAGATGCAAACCCAGCAAGGAAACAAATGCAAAATTTTGTCCTCCTTTCTGAACTGTCTATTCTCTGCTCTCTACTCTACCCCAAGAGTCCGTTCTTCACGTTTATTCCAGGTCCTCATCTCCAAGTACCTAAGCTTGATTAAAAGATCAGAATTGTTTTCAGAAACTTGTTATCTTTTTTAGTGTATTATGAGATGGAATACAGAACATTCTGAGATCCTAGAATAATGCCTTTCCTCTTGTTCATTTAGTTTCTAACCGACAGAGGCTTCCTTCTCCTTCTTTTCTCTCTTCCCTGAAAGCAGTTCAAACAAGTGTAAATTTTCTCAGCCCAATACGAATAACTCTATTACATAAACACTCCTACCTATGCCACTCAGCAGCTAAGAGTTTAAGGAGGTCATATGTAAGGAAACCTGTGCTTGTGGGAGCTCCCCACTGAATGTGCCACTTTAACTTAGCCTTAACGGAAACCTGAGACTTCAAATAATCTAGCGTTCTGCCGTCCCTCTGATGGACACACTCTAAACCTATCTTCTTTGAGCACTTACGGATAATAATCACAAATCAGGCCTATTAATACCAAAATGGAAAAGGAATCATGTTTTCAGAATTATTCTTGTTTGGTATTTAACTCATATTAATTTTATTATCATGTTAACATGTTTACTAAGAAAATATTTTTGCTTTTTGAAATTTAAAACAAGTAATACTTATATATAGTCTACATTCCTGGTTTCCATTTTTATAATTTGTGTTGCCATTTGTATCAATCCTCAAATTTTAAGTAACTAAACGTGAAAAGTTTAGGTAAGCAATAACCCTTAATCAAGAGAATTCTTTCCCTTGGCAGCAGAACTTTTCCTAAAGCTTCAAACTCTATCAGCTGTTTCTGAGAGATTCACTTGAACTCCAAGATAAGCATTAGATGTAGATGCTTTATAGTCCAAGAAAGTGGAGACTTGAGCCTTTATTTGACTGTGACAGTTGGACACAGGTTGGATCGCTGTTCTTTTGTTTTTGCCCTGGGCCAAATTTACAGCCAGTTTCCACATTATTAACCAGATTCATTTCCTTGAGACTTGAATTAGCTGAGGCAACTAAAAACTCGGAATTGTTTGCCTGTTTACTTTTTGAGAACTTCTTAAGCCCCCCTTTCCCCTAGATGTAGTAAATATTCAGAGTGTAGGCTAGAACTCCATTCAAATCCATAAGTGCCATTTATAAACAAAAAATCTGTTGTTTCCTTTCTCTGCTAGGACTGTGTTTTGAGCCTGAGCCGATTTCTTCCACGCCTAATTATTTTCAACCCCGAGAATTTTCCAGTTGTGTTTCTTGTGAAGAAAACCCGAGCTGCCTCGACCAGATCTTTGATTCCTACCTTCAGACGGAGACACACTCGGACCCTTCGCTCAATTCCATGCAAAGTACTCCACACTATTTCCCAGACAGCTTCCAAGCTGCCCCTTTCTGCTTCAACCAGAGCCTGGTAATGTATCTCAGTTCTTTACAAAACCTGATTATTGCTTAATGCTTTGTAAGAGAGTTTGCATCATCTCATGAGAAATCACAGAAATACTATCAACAAGGAAATTATCTAGGAGACAAGCAGACAGCTATTTAGAACTCAGTGGAGGTAGAAATAGCCACACATTGCAGGGCACAAACCTTTGGATACACACGTGCAGTAATTATGATTTCCCAAGTCAGCTACGCCCAAGTAAGTTGGTGTGTGGCAATAAAAAGGCTTCCTGGCAATAGTCATTTAATGTGTATAAAGTTGTAAAGTTAAGACATCTACTTATTTGGAAATCACTAATTTAAACAATGGCCCTTGCATTTTTGAGTTCTTGAAAATGGAATTAAGGCTGTTTCTACACAGTACCAAGCTGTCATTCTGATAAGGGGTTTTTGTTTTATTCTGACACTGAACTGGTTCGACTAACCGGTTGTTTTATCTGCAACAGGCACAAGAACTCATTTGGGTCTGAGATGGTTGGTAAAAAATGAAGCCCAAGTACTTGAAAGAATTTGGCTTGTCTGTTCCTGATGGACCTCAAATGTTTGAAAGTGTGTTATCCTTTAAAATGGAGTAAGGGTTCCAGTAGCAGAAGTCAGTTGTTTTAGGTAGTCACATAATTTATTTTAACCTTAAAAAGTAAATTTAAAAAAAATGTAAATTCTTTTTTCTCTTTGTTTGTCAAAAGTCTGTGTAGGTACCAGACTAAATTTTAAGGGGATAAGAAATTAACTGCACAAGAGTATGCATACAGGGCCCCAATCATCCAGTTCTCTTCCAGCTTCCAAGTTAGGCTCTCTCAGGAATAATTGTAGACCCACCAACTTAAAAGAAAGCAGAAGGCACCTTTCTCTTCAGGGGACAAGACTTTAGTGACAATAAGAGTAGTTTCGCATCCTGGAGTCTCCTAGACACTGGATCACTGAGGATCCCAGTTCTACCTGAGTGTGTTCCCTTCGTCCTCCACAGTCAAGGGTGTGGAGAAACATCCACGGTGCCACCTGCAGCTTATATTGTGGCACACAGCAGGATCTGATGTGCAGGTGACTTGCAGCACAATGGGATTTTGTGGTTTAAGGACAAAGCATCCTATTAAGTATGGTTATAACAAAGGAAGCCAGCAGAGCAAGGCAATTTATTGTTGGGAAAGAAATAGGTAAATAGAGAATGTGGTGTCATGAAATCACGTAGTAAGCAAAGAAAATTACTTCTGCAGACTTGGGTTGGCTTGGGTTTTATTGTGTTTTTTTCCTATCCCTAGTATTCTTACCCTGAGTTAATAAATCCACTCTATTCAGTTCTTTTAATCCTGTCTAAGTTATCAAGCTCTTTGTTCCTTGGTTTTTGTTTCTCTAGACCCCAGAATCGCCTTCGGATTCCTCCACTCTCTCTGGTTCCTTAGACTGCAGTTACTCGCCGGCTCAGCTACCTTCATATGCTCCAGAGAATTACAATTGCCCCCCTTCTCTGGACACCAGAAACTGCGGCTATCCTTCAGAAGACTATTCCTACCCTCTCTTGCCCTCACATGCCCAGTACGACTGCTTTTCCTCGGCCGCCACTTCGGTCTGCTACTGTGCATCCTGTGAGGCAGAACACTTGGACACCATCAGAGCGTCAGAGTATTTTTCCTATCCCAGCACAGACTGTGTGAACTTTGCTCCCTCAGCAGCAGGAACCAGTGATTTCTATAAGAGGGAAACAAACTGTGACATCTGCTATAGTTAATAGAGATTACATTCATTTGGAACATGGCATGTGTATATCTATTTTTCTACCACACCAAATGACAACCGAGATGTGCGACCTGTTAACAAAATATCCAAGCACAGCTTACGTGCCACCATTTTCAATTTTCTGATGCTAACTTAGGCATTAACATGAAGTCCTCAGACCTGGTCATGATTCCACTCCTACTTTGTATGCTGATAGTTAAAATTTTTGTAGGGAATACTCAATTGTTTTACTTTTCTGTGTAACGAACAAATTCTAATTTTTTTACTAATAAATAATTTTGTATTATTAAATGTTGATTTATTTTTTAAATTTTCTAGTGGTAGTTTCCAATTGGTTTTAATATCCGTTAATTCTAGAAATCACTAATTACTCTGTGGTAGTTTGATCTCACTTATTCATGAATTTAAAATTATTTTAATGTGATGGGATGCCTTAGGTCCCATGGCGACGGAGTAGACATAGCTGTGATGGCTGAAAAATGAAAGTCAGCCTCACCTCTAAAGAAGGGCGTACATCTTGGAGCAACATCACAGAATGATATTTATGAACCATCAGTCTCTCATACCTAGCATTAGTCAATGAAATGTTAATATGACCAAAAAGCACATCTTACCTACAGCAATGTTAACTTGTAGATAACTCTTTTTCATTTCCAAAGTATTGTTTTGTAAACTTTCTGGGCAAATACTTGATCTTCCTTCTCTTGAGAGCTGCCATGCAGGCGATGTTTGGAATTCGTTGTTACCTTGTATGTGAATTTCTGCATTAGGTCCTTAAATATGCATCCCTCGTACTTACAGATTGATTTATAGAATCGACCATGTTGTTTACAACTGAATTTCAGCGTTTACTTCCTCTGATTAATCTATTTAAACGAGCCCAACCGTCTTTCAAGATGAAAAAGGAGTTACTTAAGCTACCTATGCTAGACTATACTGTCAAACCCTATTTGCGGAGGGCATCAAGGCACAGGACTTAGTGCCTGCAGTAAAGTCTAGGGGGCATTTCCCATGTCCCAAGATTCAACACAATGGCAGCAATACCGGTACCTTTGGCACTGGACACTGCTACCATTTTCTGAGCCCTTCCTGTGTGCCAGAATTGTCTCAGGGCTTCTCACACATCTCATCTAATCTTCACAACAACATTGCCAACAAAATGAGGAGTCTGAGGCTCAGAGAAGTTAAGTCACCTGCCCAATGTCACTCAGCCAATAAGCCCCAGAGCTTGGGTCTGAAGGACACCAAAGCTATGCTTTTTCCTCACTCTCTGGGGGTGAAAAGTCTGAGCCACCACTTGTGAAAGATTGCTCAGGAACCTGAGGAATCATCTCCCATTAAATGCCAACTTCCTCATACACACAAAGCTGTGTCCTCAACTCAACTAGTCAGAACTCGCCAGAAGGGCTGAACTGTCCACATGACATAAAGATGCCAAGCACAAGAGCTGCCGTAGCCCCCCATTTGGGGGCCGAGGGGAAGAAATTGACTATCTGCCACTTCAACAGGCCCCCTTCTATCAGGAGACAGATATGCTTTCAAAAAGACACCATCTGATTGTCCCCTCCCTGGGGACTCCACTAAAGCTTGGGCAAACAGGACGAGTTGCAACCTGCCTCATAGAATAGATGTGCCAGGGACACAGAACAATTACTACCTTTCTGAGATGCCAATAAAACTACGTTTTTAATAGTTTCTAACTAAATTGAAACTGGCCTGGTGTCAACAAATATCTGTTCACACAAACCAAAGCTTCTGCTTACCCTCCACCCCACCCTCAGCAGCTGTCTCAAAAGGACAAAGAGCAAAGAACACAAAGATGTCCAGTGTTTGGCACCAAAATATCCCTTTCCTGGCCTGGATGCCGTTCTTTCTTTCTTTCTTTTTTTATCCCCTACTTCCATCCTCCGCTTTCTGAATCAGATCTCTTGCAGCTCTAAGAGAGAACATTTTCCCATCTCCTTGTTTGTTTCTTGTTCTTTCTTCACATCGCCTTAGTTTTTGCCTAAATCTAGTATGGAAAAAGATTCATAAAGGAAGGTGAGACAAGGGCTTATATAGCTATTGTGCATCATAATGAATAACTCCACCTTAAAATGGCCTTTAAGACCTTTCCAGAAATTTGGGCCAACAGGTCACCTGGCACACTATGAAGTGGATGAATGCTGCCCACCAGTCTCTTAACCACTACAGCTCACACCGAACAGCTCAGGACCCCTACAGCAGCACTGGGACAACTTAGAATGCCTCTCACCAGCATATACTTGGGAAGCTGGATAAAATACAGACGCCTACACCTCAGTGAGAAAGCATGAGCAGTAAGCCTGTGGTGGGTCCAGGCATCTGCATTTTCTAGACATACGTAAGTTGATTCTGATATAGATGGTCCTCTGTCTACAATTGAAAAACACTGACATATTCAGTTGTCTGAATTGTTCACTTGTAGGACCTACAAGCACAATACTAATAGCTTACAGAGACTAAGCCATTTCTACAGGCCAGTGCAGTGGGCATTATCTCATTTAATCCTCAAATAACCACACAAGATAGATACTATTATTTTCCTCATTTTTATCAATGATGAAACTGCAGCTTGGAAAAATGAAGTAACTTGCCAAAGGTCACACAACCTAAAAATCAGAGTAGGAATTCTCCAATTGAAGTTGTCTGAGGTCACGGTCTAAACTTCCAGTACCCTCAGTATACTTTCCATGCATCATACCTGGAGGAAAAATCTCTTTGGTATTTGATCTCTTGTCTTAAAAGTCACATGTATGTCTGTAGCCAGTTCCTCATACCACCGAGGCATTTAATAAGGTTATAAATGGAAGTTCAGATGAATAAATAATTTTGTTATTCAGAACCAGTAGAGAGATTAATACAACAAAATATTAATTAAGTGCTTACTGTGTGCAAGACTCATTACGTGCTTTCAAAATGCAGTCAAAGGTTAAAAGAGGATATGATTTTAAAAATTTAAAACTGGAGAATTTCAGTTAGGATGGGCATGGACTGATTTTCAAATTCTTGGGAAATTTAAGTTAGGAGTCAACCCTTGAAGGCTGAGAGAGATAAGATGAGACAATCTTGAGAGTAGTAAACATTTGGAAACTATGACTTCAAGCAATGGCCCAGAGCAGTGGCATCTGGGCAGTGGGCCTAGGCCTGCAGGTGGACATCAGACAGCAAGGAAGAGATAAGGGTAACTGGAATGATGGAGCCAGGGGCGGGGGATGAAGAGGAGGTGGAGGTGGGGTACTACCTTTTGATAGAAATTGTTTTTTCAAATCATTATGCAGTTGAGAAAGACGAAGGCTAAAAAGAATTAGAATCAAAACCAATGAAAATTGTGAATAATATAGATTAAAATTGACATGGATTTGCCATCATTTCTAAATCCTCAAACTCTATGCAACCCCCAGCCCAATCCCTGGCAGAGCTGCTCAGGAGAGTCATTAGTCCTCGTACTACCTCCCTTCATCTCACAGAGAAAGGAATGGAGATGCCTGGCCTAAAGAAATTGAGATTTGGTCTGCAGTGGTTGAGGGGGTGGGGGAGCGCCCAGTATCTCAAAGCCCTAGGGGCTAGATTTTAGTATGGCCAGAGGGGGCCATTCAGTGCTCCGTGGCTCTGTGCTTTAAAAGGCAGAGTGAGTGGCCCCAATTCTTATGCTCCAATAGGCCTCTGGGCAAGATGTAGGGGCTGGAAGATGAACAAATCTGAAAGGACACAGCCCGGCATAATAACAAAGCATCAAAATCATTGAAGGCAGGAAAATGCATCTGCTTAGAAAACAGTTTCTCTTGCTTAACGTGGTTAGAGAACATGCTGTTGGTTCTTGGGAAATGTGGAAGAGTGTGTTTATGTGTGTATATGTGTCTGTGTGTCTGCGTGTGATCCATTTGTTGCCACCTGGATAATCCAGAGGGAAGAAGAGACATCTGCCTTTGAACCTGTCAGGATTGGCCCTGGAATGCCAAAGCTCACCTGAGACTGTCCTACTGAAGCCACCACCTCCCTCCCTCGTTGTATAATTCTTGGTCGAATAAGCCAGATTTCCAGAATAGCTCTGCTGCAGGTCACTCAAGTCCTAGGATTGCCCTGATGAAGGGAAGGGGTAAATCCCGGGTAGAGGTCACTTTGTGCGCAGGCAGGCGTGACACTCAAACTAAAGGGGGCTAGGGTAAGAATTTCACTGTGATTGTGCAAAGAAGGAGGAGTTCTCCAAAAGGAGGGCTTATCAGAGGACAGAGGATTTAGAATAAGAACTGGGGTGCATCCTTAAGTGGGCTCTGTATGAGAGGCTTGATTTTGGGGTGCTTTTCTTTCAGACTGTGAGCACAGTCCCATTCAGCACTATGTTTGAATTTTTCTCCTCTCACATTGTCATTCCTATTGGTTAACCCAAGCTGTTCAGGAAAATCTGGTTCCCCAGAGAGCTTTGGGCACAAGTACAGAGAATCAAGTAAAGAGACTTTAAAGGGAAGCCTGCCCGATTCACCCCTCTCTGCTGAGACCTACGCAGAGCTGGTAGCTGCTATTGTAGGGGCTTATGGTCCAGGGTGATCAGGAAGTGATCTGCAGCCAGTGAGCGGTGGCCGTGGTGGAGGCAAGATCATGGGAAAGGGCATCAATTGAGAAGCAGCAACTCCAAGATCATAACGCTTGAAAATGAAAGAGGCTGGAGCTTGGGTTACTCAAACAAGGGGGAACTTCAGGACAAATAAAAGAAAGTTTCTACACAGTGGGCAATAAACTTAAAAAACTGTACAACTGGAACATTTAAATAGTTTCAAGAAGGGTTGAGATTAATTTGACTGATAACATTTGAGTGCTGGAAAGGGACCCAGACGTCTTTTAGTTTAGTAGTTCTCAACCCCGGCTGCACATTACAATCACCTGAGGAGGTTTTAAAAAATAGTGCCATCCAAGCCCCAGACCAATGAGTCACAATCTCTAGGGTGGGATTTTGGCATTAGGATTTTTTTTAACTCTTTATTTTGAAATCACAGGGAGTTGCAAAAATAAAACAGAGAGCCCTATGGACCCTTCACCCAAGCTTTCCTTGATGGTGACTGACATCTTAATCAACTATAGTACAATATCAAAATCAGGAAGTGGACATTGGTACAATGCTATTAACTAGACTATAGATCTTATTCCGTTTTCAGCATTTTTTACATGCATGCATTTATGTGTTGTAGGTGTGTGGGGGTTTTTAATGAAACCAGTATTAGCATTTCTTAAAAGCCCCCTGAAGAGCCTAATGTTCTCATCTCAGAGATGAAAAC